CTTAAAATTTTTGGTCACGTCTTAAACATTAAAAATTATATCAATGAAAATTGTAATAATTTTACGGGACTGTCTATCTGATGTTAGGCTGACACGATAGACATTCCCTTGGAAAATACGAATGCCCAATATTTTATCGTTAAACGAGCAATTCTTGTATATAAATATATATGACGGAGGAGAAACGCTGAAGGAATGTTTTTAAAAAGTGTGACGTCACCATTGCTGACGTCACGGTCATTACGTTCTCGACGAATGACCCATGTTTGGGCTTCCAAAACAAAACTTCACGAGAACTGCGTATATTGCACGAGAAACATAACAACGTTACAGAGAGATCCGTACTGTACTACGGCTCGGACACGAATGAATAAACGCTAGACAGCACGGCCGTATTTATAGGACTTCGTACACGTCAGCGTGTTTACAAGTATTAAACACGTGAGCGTGTTTACAAGATTTTAAAGTATTGAAATTACAATAAAAGGGACTGTTTAACATCAATTTCTTATCACANGGCCGTATTTATAGGACTTCGTACACGTCAGCGTGTTTACAAGTATTAAACACGTGAGCGTGTTTACAAGATTTTAAAGTATTGAAATTACAATAAAAGGGACTGTTTAACATCAATTTCTTATCACAGAGTAATTAGTTGATGATCAGTAGGTAAATAGTCATATTTGCGCCGACATATATATAATCTGAATCTCGGAAACGGCTCCAACGATTTTTATAAAATTTAGTATACAGGGAATTTCGGGGAGCGATAAATCGATCTAGCTACGATTAATTTTCAGAAAATGTTGTTTTATTCGTGTTTTCAATAATCAACTTTATCGATCATCAACTTTATGACTCTTTCCGAGATCTATTGGCGAATAATAATACTATTTTTCTTAATTGAGAGCAACTAGCTGCTTTAAAGACCCAATAACACTAAAGCTACTTCAGCAGATGGCGTTGTTAAGCAACCCGAAGCCAATGAGTGTTTGATTTAAGGTTAGACCAAGAATATGAATTGTTTATTTATATTATTTGTGTGTTTTTAACCCACGTGTTAAAAAAAAAAAAACCGGCAAAGCTCGGTCATTATTTAGTGAAACATTGTGCGACATAAAACATTTTCCAGTTGAGAAACCTTATGAAAATTGTGTCGGATTATCTTGTTTTGTATCAATTTCAAATTCTCACGATCGGTGTCTGACGTTGTCACTGTCGTCTGATGAGGGTTCGGGGTCATTTCATTCCTGAATGCTTTTCTTTCTAAAGATCAGACTATTTCAGTATCAACAATTGTTATTCGATAGATGGGGAATAAAAAAATATTTAAATTGTGCTTAATGATTCGATGAAGTCACTCACGGTCACAATTTGTCCAGTAATTTGATAAACGGTATTTATTTTTATGAATCAAATATCAAAAAAGCTTCATCGTTGAAGATAATATAATTTTTATAAATATAACGATTTGAAACATAGTTGAAATTTTGTAAGTTGAAGTTTAAGTTTATAAAATTTAAACCATGAAGCGTTCCAGTGCTTAATAACCTACGAATAAATAATAAGTCTTATTTATTCGTAGTTAATAACAAAAAAAATACAATAGATTCTAAATTATTTTAATGACATTCACGTAATAATTACATAGGTGTAAGTGTACTTACTACTCTACGTGCGCACGAAATAAAAGTGTAAAAACTACACTTATTAAATGACACTTTTCTAACAAGACGTTATTAGTTATTTATATATATTAAATTATTTTTAATAGAATGTCTAATTAGAATACCTTTTATTATTGATTGAATGAAATTGAACAACATTAATAGATACTGTTTTATTAACTTATTGATAATCAATTCTAATTGACAGCTTGAACATACATAGATTATATTTTGTCTATTTAAATATAGAATACCTATAATATGTAATGACGTACGCATGATTTTCTATATTGTTTTCAACATTTGAATACCGCCGACCACCGAGTTGTGACCAATTAATTAGTATCGGTTTTATGAGCAGCGCTAATCCTGGAGGGAGCATCGCCGCTGTCATTAGCTACGGACCGGGATAAGGGCTAACGGCCGGGAGAAAACTCCTTCGAAGAATGGAACGATATGGGGCTATACTCTAATTAAATTTATTTTCGGCTTTTTTCCAGTGATCAATTTATTCAAGTAACTTTAAAACGTTAATGGCTTATTTTCGTTTGCCTGTTTCTGCAGTTCCTTTAAAGCAAAATTAAAAGTATATCTTCTGAATATGCAAATTAAATTCGAAAATATCAAGTTTAACTATTCCGTACTGTAATTGTGCATTGCAATTGTAATTTTTTATAATTTAATGTATGTGACGGCGTTAACGATATTTATGTTATATAGCACCTGCAATAGGAGTGACTCACACAAGCCAGGCGCGCCGGCCGTGTCGTTCCACTCGTAAACAACAGCTGCAACAGAAGTGACTCATAAGCCAGCTGCGCCGGCTAGTATAAAAAGGCGGAACGTGCCTTGAAATGAACATTTCGTTGGACTGCGTTTGCCTGGTGACTTACTANCCAGTACGTACAACAGTCACTGAATCACACAACGTAACAAGGATATAGTAAGTGCACCAGGCAAGCGCAGTCCAACGAATGTTCATTTCAAGGCACGTTCCGCCTTTTTATACTAGCCGGCGCAGCTGGCTTATGAGTCACTTCTGTTGCAGCTGTTGTTTACGAGTGGAACGACACGGCCGGCGCACCTGGCTTGTGTGAATCACTCCTATTGCACGTGCTATATAACATAAATATCGTTAACGCCGTCATATGTATTTCATTGTTTTTATTGTTGTTGTTATTATTCTAAGCTCAGATAATGATTGTTCGGTCTAATGCTGGTGTGCACGTCCCTCCGCAGGTGCCGGCGGAAGATCAGCGCCGCAGTACCGATTGTCTCGGTACTGTTAGGCATTGCTGAGCCGGTAACCCTTTCCAAGCCTCGTTATTTTTTTTTAAATTTTTGTTTCATTTTTTGCAAATTTATATTTGGAATAAATGTTTATTAATATTATTATTATTATTATTATATAATAAAAATGAGAATTCACCCTCACGTCTTAAGGTGATTGGCTGGAATCATGATGACACATTTGCAGGCACCAGTAACTTTTCAACATCAGGTGAACTCGATGCTCGTTCATCAACCTAGATAGAAAAAAATGTGTGGTGTCGTGGGACATTGGATAGGAACGAAGTTCCTTATTATAAATATATTAATTTTAAGTTCTACTCAAAGTATAAAGAAAATAAAACTGGAGGTTTCACAACAACTCACGGTCATTCGGTAACGTGCGAACTTATTGTGGTATTGTTACTGGTGGTAGGACCTCTTGTGAGTCCGCGCGGTTAGGTACCATCACTCTGCCTATTTCTGCTGTGAAGCAGTAATGCGTTTCGGTTTGAAGGGTGGGGCAGCCGTTTTAACTATACTTGAGACCTTAGAACTTATATCTCAAGGTGGGTGGCGCATTTACATCGTAGATGTGTATGGGCTCCAGTAACCACTTAACACCAGGTGGGCTGTGAGCACGTCCACCCATCTAAACAATAAAAACAAAAAACACTTTCCTCACGGTTGTTTGCATAAGAGTTAGTGTATTACGCAAACGAACGCTCTGAGATCGTGATCAATGAATGATAAAATATATGTTACTTTTTGTACGTTATTACAAAGCTAAGTCGTACACTGTGTGCATTACTAATTTGTACGTTATTACAAAGTTAAGTCGTACACTATGTGCATCACTAATAAAAATCTTACGTTACGGACGTTTTTTCCCGGTTAGGATACCCCTCCGCATCGTCCCATAAGGAACTTCTTTCCAAAAAATATGCTAAAACAAACTATATATGCTTTGGTACATGTATGGTAATCTTGTCGAAAAATTCCGCCCCCAAGATCCCACTGGTAATCACAAATATCGTACAATTTAAATACGCGAAACGTCTAAGTAGGGAGTATATACGGAGCAGTTGACTGAAGTCTTGATGCTGTGCAGGAATTTGTTAAATAATTATCGGCGTTATTTAAAGTTTTCGCTATGCTTAAAAATCTGGTTTTACTGGTGGTAGGACCTCTTGGGAGTCCGCGTGGGTGGGTACCACCGCCCTGCCTATTTCTACCGTGAAGCAGTAATGCGTTTCGGTTTGAAGGGTGGGGCAGCCGTTGTAACTATACTGAGACCTTAGAACTTGTATCTCAAGGTGGGTGGCGCATTTACGTTGTAGATGTCTATGGGCTCCAGTAACCACTTAACACCAGGTGGGCTGTGAGCTCGTCGATCCATCTAAGCAATAAAAAAAAAAAAAAAAGCGCGTGCACGCTCACAAATGAATACCCTTTTTTTTAATTTTGGTAGTATCACCGACTCCATTTTCAGGAATCATTGATATTGTTAGGTCGGAGAATTTAGGCGTTGCAATATCTTATTAAGTAAGACCAGCCTAAGGCCTAAAACGAAGACATCTTTAAGCTCCTACAGTGAAGAAAAGTTAGATAAGACACTATCAAACAACATAGATTTATTTAAAATACAAATTTATCCACGTATATATGGTTTCCTTAATAACAGGTGAACGAATGCTTACAATCCGCAGATAACATTCTAAGTGATATTAAAACTCATAACTTTTCTCGGTGTTACCTAATCCATGTAAAAATGGCGTCACAGAATTTTCTCGATATCCAAGTTCATTGTGTTTTCAAGTTCGTTAAATTATATTTGTACTACATTAGAAAGTGCTCAAACGTAACTTTCAATTTGATTAGCGCAATTTACATGTATCTGTGAGGATTTATGACACCAGAACTTTGTGGTAGTTCGTTCATTATGTCATTGTCACTGTCGACGGTTTAAAGGGAGGGTACATGCGACGCGGTTTTCAAAAAAGCAAATATATTATTGCCATTCAAATACTGGTTGGACTCTATAGATTTGCATATAAGTTTAAAATGTATCCGAAAATTATTGTTTTATTTATTATTTTGACGTCGATAGCTGTATTTTGTGAGGGATCTGAAGAAATAGAGGCGCGTGGAAAGAAAAAGAAGATAGCGTTGTTCGGTAAGTCACTTTTTAATAATCACTACATAGTATAAAACAAAGTCGCTTTCTCTGTCCCTATATATGTCTGTCCCTATGTATCCTTAAATCTTTAAAACTACGCAACGGATTTTGATGCGGTTTTTTTTAATAGATAGAGTGATTGAAGAGGAAGGTTTATATGTACAATAACATCCATTAAATAGTGGAGAAATCAATAATAAATTACAGTTTCCGAAGCGAAGCGAGGGTGGGTCGCTAGTCTTTAATAAATAGATAGATAGATACGCATATAGTCCCAACTGTGCTCAATTGTTAATTTTCTAGAGTCCTGGCTTCTCGTTCAAATTGTTTTCCTACGGTCCTAGCAGGATCGATCCAATTGGTTTTAGAGGTTGATCCTGATAGGGAAACGTTTTGGCTGATCAAATAACCCCAATACAAGTTTCAAGTACAGCTCTTATTTTAAAACGACTGTTTTTTTATGACTGTCTTTTTTTGGATGTAGTAAATTTTGATATCATGAGAGGTGATATTTATTTATTTATTAGACTTCGTGTAAAATTTACATAGGCGGACTTAATGCCTAAGGCATTCTCTACCAGTTAATCAAAGGTAGTGCAGAGTAAATAGTGGTAGGTGTAATGGAATTTATAATACATTACAAATACATATACAAAACACATATAAGCGTAAATATATATATATACAAATATACACGAATACATATCGACGCTTGAAAGGCAAACGTGACTAAAGGACAATGCGTGAACTTTACAGTAGACTAATTTAAAGTTGAAATACCTGAAAAAAATTACATTTTAACGAATCTAGCTGTAGGATTGAAATCATTTTAATAGACCTAGAAATTATTTTTTTGCGCATCGAATATGGTTATTGCCTATCATTTATGTACGAAGTGGTTATTGTCGCTTAGTCACGTTTGCCTTTCAGGAGATATACACATATGCATACATACATACATATTTTTATTTAGTCTTAGTCTTTTAGTTTAGTTTTGTTTTTAGGTCCTTGGGGATGTTTCTTCATCTTTGAAGGAAAATAAAGACTGTTCCCTCACATTAGGTAATGATGCCATCACTAAACGACCTTTTTTATTTCCAGTTTACTTTGCTGATATAGTGATAAAAAAGATATTCGTTCTGAAACTGATCTACGCTTTCGTCTTCTGGGTCGTGCTCCACAAAGCGGGATACTTCCTCTCCTGGTTCGCTAGCTACATCAAAGAGCAGAAACACGAGTATCACGATCATCACGACCACCACGAGTACGCTCATCACGACTATGGACCGAATTACGGACCTTATAGGAAACAGAGTGATGGTTATAGATTACGATAGAGTTGTGTAGTTTGATGCATGAGTTGAAATGTATTTTAGATGTGTAATTCTATTAAATTCGTTCATTACGCCTTAACTTGAATCGTCTATGGAAAAATGAAATAAAATAAGTACGTATTCCAAAGTAGAACATTGCGGATTTAGCGCTGGGTCAGCGCGAGTTTGTTTAATAGAATTACACTTCAGATATGAGATTGTGATGTTTAGCGGTATACTGTTTATTAAATTATTGAAATATATGTTAAGTATTTATTGTATTTGATTGTTGACATTGAGTAATCAATATGATAACTATGAACCAGGTTATTATGCTGATCCATCACGTGATTTTAATACCCGCCCAGAAACACTGATAGTCGCGCTGTTCCGAAAATGGGCCAATTCTAAATAGTGGGAACAGTCATTATTCCCGTTCGGAGTGTCTACTAAATCTCATGAATAATATAACTTGAATGTCCTCACTCATGATGAGACATGACATGCCATCAAAGTCTCGGTCGTATGGTATTTTATAACAGATGTCGCATTGCTTTCATTGCTGAAACACTAAGAGATCAACCAGACCAGACCAGACCAGACCAGACTAGACTAGACCAGACCAAGACCTGTCTGTACAGGTAACAATTCGCCCAACCACCAGTTAAAAGTCGCCAGTGTTTCTGTATACAAGAACAACATATCTTCTGTATCATTGCATTATTATCTCTTTTTTGTTTTTTTTTTTAATGCTGAGATGGGTGGACGAGTTCACAGCCCACTCGGTGTTAAGTGGTTACTGGAGCCCATAGANTATGGTATTTTATAACAGATGTCGCATTGCTTTCATTGCTGAAACACTAAGAGATCAACCAGACCAGACCAGACCAGACCAGACTAGACTAGACCAGACCAAGACCTGTCTGTACAGGTAACAATTCGCCCAACCACCAGTTAAAAGTCGCCAGTGTTTCTGTATACAAGAACAACATATCTTCTGTATCATTGCATTATTATCTCTTTTTTGTTTTTTTTTTTAATGCTGAGATGGGTGGACGAGTTCACAGCCCACTCGGTGTTAAGTGGTTACTGGAGCCCATAGACATCTACAACGTAAATGCGCCACCCACCTTTAGATATAAGTTTTAAGGTCTCAAGTATAGTTACAACGGCTGCCCCATCCTTCAAACCGAAACGCATTACTGCTTCACGGCAGAAATAGGCAGGGTGGTGGTACCTACCCGTGCAGACTCACAAGAGGTTCTACCACCAGTACCTAATTACGCAAATTATCATTTTGCGGGTTTGATTTTTATTACACGATGTTATTCCTTCACCGTGGAAGTCAATCGTGAACATTTGTTGAGTACGTAATTTATTAGAAAAATTGGTAGCCGCTTGAGATTCGAACACCGGTGCATCGCTCAACACGAATGCACATCCTTTAGGGCACGACGACTTCTGGAATCAAATTAACTAAAAATACGCGTCACATAAGAAGACATGAATTTTCACTCATTCCTTGTACACCGCATTTGCCCATAATACGTATAAAGAAGTAAGTTGGAACGTATACTAGGAACTTTGTTTGTTTAACAGCTTTTATTGTGGCATTGTAACCTTATCGCTGAGTTGGCAACGAATTTACGTACAGAATTTTACGATGCTTTAAAACATTTAAAAGTCCCTTTTACATTCAGAACGCGCATGTAAATTGCGATCAGAGTAAATTTGAATAATTTTGTTTCTTTTTTTTTTATGAAATGGTTCTTGGAGCACGCCAAGCGCTTCCACTTATAACGTCAGAGTGATGAATTGATGACTTAATCAATAGAAAAAAATATTCAATAGGTCCACAAAAGAGAGGGTAGTTAAAATTAAATCTCAACACAAAAGAATTTCATTACGGTTCATGACGTCACCGCGTCGTAATCGAAAACATTTCCAGCCTGATGCTTCAAGGTCTGTAGTTTATATCAGAATAAGTACAGTCGAAATAACAATAATAATAATTAAATAAAAATAAATAAAATAAAAAGCCTTTTATTTCGTACAAGTGACATAAAAAGTGACATAAAAACAAAAAATAATGCAATTCTTAACTAATAAATAATGTATCCGTTGAATAATATTAGGTATTATTTCCCACTTGCAAGAACCCCTCCTCGGGTAAAGGCCTCCTCCAAGGATAGCCAATCTTCTCTGGATTGCGCAATTTTAACCCAGTTTGTATTTGCTACTCCCTTTATATCATCTTCCCATCTAGTATAATATAGTTTTCCCCTCTTTCTTTTTCCTAATGGACCTGAAGGCGTGCAACATGTCCAGCCCATTTCCATTTTAAAGTTAAGGCATGAACTAGTACATCAGTTGCTTTGCAAATTTTTTTTATTTCTCTGAGTGACAAATTTTCTGTATTTTATATACGAAATAACAATAATGAGAATCAATATTCCGATAACGCTAAAATATTTCTACGTACTAAGTTCGCACGGGTTGCAAAACTGACCGACTATTTCCGCTGCAAAGCAATTTCCGTGTTAAAGGTCAGGATAGCCGTTATTTCGAGTAGCCTATCCTAGTTTTTGGAATATTCCGAAGTTAGCATAGCTTGGGTTTTTTTGAGTTCTTTTAAGCGTTTCTATGAGTCCACAGACAAAACTTTATTAATCAATCAAAGTTTGTATTTTTAACGAAAATAAATGAGCATGCTCATTTTTCATTATAAATCCCAATTAAGGATAATATTTTCACCCAGCCAGCGTTAGTTTTCAGCTGGGAAAGGAACCTCACAATCACAAAGGGACATCACACTACCCCTCTTTTTTCCCCTACCTATGCTGATAGCCTTGATAGGCTATTTCAGCTTCCCTTGACATGTAAGTGAGCTCACGGGTTCTAACCAGGAGTGTTGCTAACACTGGCCCTAACAAGAGCAGTGCTTCGCAAAATCTACCACCGGATCGGAAACGTGATCCACCGAGAAGATCCGGCGAGAAACTCAGGGGGCTGTCTCCATGGGTTAATTCACTCGTCAAGCCCTATATCGCAAGCGACGGGTTCGACGAGGACGGTGACCGGTGCTTGTGGTACCTAAAAGCACCGTTAATGGAACGGGATTACGGATCCAATGACGTCTTTAGGGCGACGTCGACTGTTTACCATTCGGTCTATAGGATCGGGTATGACTAGCCCTATTCACCTTAAGATATTATATTATGGTTGTTGGATCTACCGGATCTAACTCACTCATAGAGATAACCCACTGAGTATCTCACCGAATCTTCTCAATGGGCCAAGATTCTGATTCGGTGGTAGATTCAGCAAACCACTGCTCTTACTAGAGCCAGCGTTACCGACTCTCTCAGATTGAGTCCGTGACCTCACAGTGAGGAGCTAGAATAGCTCTTAAGGCTACCAACGATGAGGTATGAAAAATAATAAAGGTAGCAGCGATTGCGCTATAGAACAGCTTACGTTTGAAATCGGGACGAATAACGGCGTATTTGTATCAATAGGCATAGTGGTACAACGTGTACCTTACTGTTCGGGAGTGTTTTATTATTTGTAGTTTTGTGTGTTCTTTTTGCTGTCGACGATTTGCTACCAGAAGGTTCTTGGTTACTTTGGTTTGCTCGGCGGCCACCAGACAACCTTGAAAGATTGATTGTGGTGGGCAAGGTAGAAGGGAAAAGACCCGCCGGCCGGCCGTTGGTCGGATCAGATAACTGCGCTCACTGGACTCTCTGTTGCGAACGCCCTAAGAGAAGCCGAAAACCGAAGCAAATGGAAGCTGATGGTACAAAGAGCCACAAAGGGCTTTCAGGGACACGACCTTCAGCAATGAAGTATTCGACTAAGAAGAAGAAGTGTTCTTTTTCTCAGTCAGACACTCTTGTTAGAGTGGTTGTGGTTGCGCTGACTATGTACATGCAGAAGTATTTGGTAGGTCGCCCGTGTTCTTGAGGATTGCCTTACTGGCAATGCGCTTCCAGATCTGGGGGTTTGAAGCGTTTCGAAACTCAATTTCGTATGTATTATAATTTAAATCCGGGTTCTTAACTGACAAAAAACAAGACGGAAGTTTTTTTATTATTGTTTGCTCACGGCCCACCTGGCGTTAAGTGGTAACTGGAGCCCATAGATATCTACAACGTAAATGCCGTCACCCACCTCGAGATATTAGTTGTAAGGTCTCAGTTTTAACAGTACAACGGCTGCCTCACCCATTACTGCTTCACGACAGAAATAGGCGGGGCAGTGGTACCTACCCTTGCCGGCTCACAAGACGTTCAGTAATCAAAGTCGAGATTCAACATGAAAACAATAAATCTGCGTACTGATTCGCAACGTGAACTTATAATGCAGCCGTGTCAATAAAAATCCCTGGCGCGATGTGGATTCCCAATGTGCTGCTATGCGAATCGTTTTTCATCGGATCAACTCCGTATAATTTGTGAGGCTGCAATACGTGGTGCGGTCTCGTTTATTGCTCATCGACGGATTTTGAATACTGCAGGCCCGGTGTACGGATTAAGCGAGAGTTTCTGCTTGAAATCGATTCGCTGTTGAGGTGGTAGGACTTCTTGTGAGTCCGCGCGGGTAGGTACCACCGCCCTGCTTATTTCTGCCGTATAGCAGTAATCCGTTTCGGTTTGAAGGGCGGGGCAGCCGTTGTAACTATACTTGAAACCTTAGATACCTTAGAACTTATATCTCAAGGTAGGTGGCGCATTTACGTTGTAGATGTCTATGGGCTCCAGTAACTACTTAACACCAGGTGGGCTGTGAGCTCGTCCACCCATCTAAGCAATAAAACAAAACCTGACCCGACCTGACCTCTGGGAACTGTTAACATTAACATTGGCAGGCTAAGGTTTTCGCGCCAGTATTAGGTAGCATTTCGATATACTCTTTAAGCGATGGGCTTACCGAGAATATTTTGTGAATAAAAACCGCCTATCACAAGCCGTGCAATATGATGTGTGTCAGCTTAAAATTTTCTAGAAAAAAATCAAGCAAGAGCCATTAAATCTCTTTCTGTTTGAATTC